GCAGAAGTCTACAGGGGCTTGATCAGGATAGTCTGAAACCGCAATTTCTGCTTTTGTAATTCTTTATTGATCACAGTTACTGTTTTTAATGCTATGGTCACTATTTTAACACTATGTTATGCTATGTTATTTTGGTAGGTGTAGTAACAGCTAGGTATAAATGCCACAAATAGTTTTAATAATGCCATCCGTTTCCTTTCCTGAGTGCGTTTTCCTTGCTTTTAGCTGAATGACCATATTGATTTTCACCTCCCACATTCCACGGAATGTTGCTGAGGCCGTTCTCTGAATGATGACCCTTTTTGGAAAGCAGTTGTAGCCAAGGATGCCGAAGAGCCCTTTGAATCGAGAGGGAATGCGAGCCGATCAGCTGGGCAGCTGGCTGGCCGCCAGGAGCTCCGCTCCCTGAGGCACGGGCTCAGTCGTGTAAAGCCCTGCTCATTTTCCGTCCCTAAGGCTAGGGGCTGCGTTGGTTGTAGTCGAGGTTCCAAGGATACGGTAGTGTTCATCCGGGGCACGAGGGCGCGCGAGCCCAAGCCCCTCGGTCACCCACACTGCCTAACGGCTGGCTGAAGTCAAAGGGGCCCCTCAGGCACGGCTTCCCTGTGGAAGCCCTTGTGGGGTACGGCTGACAGAGGCAGGACAGTCGCAATCAAAGCCTCACCGTATCTACTGTTACTTTGAGCAGGACAACTTGGTGGCCCAGTGGTCCACAGCCTGTTCCAAGCCTGTGCTGGTGTATGTCTAGTTTGATAAACGATCAAATAAACGGAGTGGAGGAGAGCCCTTTGAAACCAGAGGTAGCTGAGGATGGCACCTCCCGAGCTTTGATCCCTACCTAAGCTTAATTTCTCTCCTTCTGTAATTTGGGGATAATAATACTGATACCTACCCATTTTGTAAAGCTGATGTGAGTATCAGCTGATGTTTTTTAAGTAGCACTGTTGGGTGAAAAATAAAGGGTAGGTAGATAGAAGCATACATTCAAGAGTTAGAGCTTCCGGCTGCAGCCGTCAGGAGCGACTAACACATTCATCTCGTGTCCCCAGGGACCCCACTGCAAACACTGAATAATGGCTCCAAATTTTAAAATATTAACTCATTGCCTGTAAGTAAAGTACACGAGAGCGTGATTTACCTGAACGAGAACTAATGTTTCCAATCCCTTGTTGGATACTAAAGCCTCATGGAGGTGACATTAAGAAGTCGTTTTTGTTGGGGGTTAAAGAGAGGACAGAGGATCTATAAGAGGGCAGATAGTGAGATAACAGAAGGAAGAAGGTTGTTATGTGTTAATGGGAACAGTGGTCCAGATAATGATCTGCCCGTCTAATCATCAGTCTCATTTTCCCCCCCTTGTCTGGCTCCAAGATCCTAAAAGCAAGTGTAGGTCACCTTGTTTAGTAGCTAGAGAGCAGAGAAATCGGGGTAGGTGGACTTGGGATGGGAAGCAACCCAAGGGGACAGAAACTGAACGGTAAGGCCACACTGGGCTGGAGTCTGGTGGGGTGCTGGTTGTGCAGAGAGGTTTTTACTTACACACACGCAGTGACATGGTACTTTGTCGTGCCGTCAGCAAGCCAAATAAAAGACGTACGTGACTACTGCTACTAATGGGAGGGCAGCTTTCCATTAGTGAATGAACTGTAATGTCCCTGCAAAGCCACCAAATATGGTTATCATTGTCTAATAGAAGGATACTGAGGCTTTTAAAACAAAAACAGCCGGGTTTTTTGAGCCAGCTGGTTTTAAGCAGGCAACTTGTTTCTTTAACCTTCACCCACAGCTGCTTGCCAGTGTTGTGCCCGGGGCTGGCGGTTGAAGGAGAAACGTAGCCAATTCGCAGTGAGACTGTTGTGAGTTTGCAAGCCCCAGGCTCGCTGAGGAGGACTTCAGTGAGGGGTCGGGTCTGGCAGTGGGACGGCTGCGTTGCGCCGAGGCTCACCAGTTGTGCTCTTCATTGCAGCTGGAGTCCTGTGTGATAGCCTGGTGGTCAGGGAACGGGCTCCGAGGTGCTCGTCTGAAGCCGAGCAAGGGGAAGGACTGCCAGTGCCTTTGAAATCAAAAAGAAAGCTACTTTTTACACACTGTTGCAGTTTTAATCAACCCTCCTTGTCTACTGTCTGCTCCTTCTCAACTAACTTCAACCTTCTCATGATTAGATATCTATATAGACTGTCTCTGGAGACACTGGAGAGAGAGAGAGAGGTAGCTCCAGATTAATGTCATTTCTATTAAGCGCTCGACTTAGGGGGGATTATCCACTGGAGGCACTTTAGGAGATGAATATTAGACACAACTGCTATCTAACAACATGCTTATGGTTGCACTGGGTTCAGATAACGTTCCGTTTCTGAAGGATTTCAAATATTTCTGTTGCTCTTAAACCTAATTAAGCAAATCAAGGTTCTGAAGGAAGTTGAGAGCCAGGAGACTTTCTCTGACTTTTGATTTTACATACCTCTTTCTATACCTGAGGTGCTCAAAATTTACAAATTCAGTAATTTGTAAATAAAGATGTACAAAAATGAGGTGGGGAAATGTGGTAGTCCGTCTCTGGCTCAGACACTCCTATATAAAGAAATTCATGCCCTTTTATATAAAACTTTGTTTTCCAGTGCTCTAGAGCCTTTCCCACGATTCCTAGATTTATAAAAAACATTGTATGCAGAGCTGCCTCTCCCTGCAGGAACTTTAACTGGCTTTGTGGGGTGCTCAGTCACTGCTGCGGATCTGCACCAGCAGCCCAGAGCCCGGCTGCAAACGCTCCTGAACAGGGAGAGACAATGGCACTTTGTGCGCGCGGTGCACAGAGTGCTCGGAGCCCGCTGGCGTGCCCTGCCTCTGCCATCGCCGCTGTTTCGGATGAACCCAAGGAGTGTTTTGTCCCACGTCTGGCATAAATCTCCCTCTAACTGTGATAGCATCTTTGGGTAATCGTCACAAATAAACAGAAGGACTCGTCTTCCCCTCCCTCCCTCCTGTTTTTTTAAGCAGCGCGGGTATTTAGTAGTGAACTGTAACCAAAAGCATGATTGCACCGTGACAGCAGACCTTTTGCCTGGAACGCAATCTTTGGATTTGCAATATGACCTACGTGACTGCGATGCTGCGGCGCTCTGAAGTAGAGACCAGTGCAGATGTAGCCTCTTGGTGGTTGAGAAGCTCACTGGGCAGCAGGCGTGGGGTTCCTGGGGCGGCAGGGCCCCGGCGGTCAGCTGGGCAGTGAGGGATGATCAGCATCGTTTGCGGGTTTTTCCTGCCAACCGCGGTACGGCACTGTTCCTCTGACAATACGTGTACTCTTGGAAGTGTTATCAAAATGGAGACGAAAGGAGGATCCCTTCAAAAATTTGTATCTAGGCATAAAGCCAGAAAACAAAGGAAGTTCAGAAAAAAAAGAAGGGTACCGCATGAAAGAAGGGTGTCATGGTAGTGATTGTCTAACAGTTGATACGAATAGATACTTTAGAGGCAGGGTGTATTTAACGCAACCGTTTGTGCCTCAGACTCGGTGTTTGTCAGCACTGTGACACCGAGGTGGGGAACTGAGGCCAGAACAGCAGGAAAATTGCCAGAAACAAGGCAGGAAAGGAGCTTTAGCAGGAGAACCAACAGGAAAAAGCCAGATCTTAGATCTTGAGGAAGAAAACCTGCAAAATTTGTCTAATTAAGGAATGTAGAACTAGACCGGGTGAGCTAAGGACGTCGATTTACACATCAGGAGAAAGGAGAAGAGGCCTCACAAAAATAAAATCGGAGATGCAGGATGAAAACCGGGACAGAAGCATGGGGAATGGGATTGGAAGGGCTCAGAGGGAGGGGTAGGGCTAAGGTCAAATGCTGTGGACAGGTCAAGGATGGCAAGAGTAGTACAGGTCCTAATGTTCGAGTGAAAATTTGTATTACCTGTTGAGAGCCGTCGCAATGGGGTGAAGGAGACTTGAAACTAGACAGGGTAGACTCAAGCATAGAGCTGAAGGATCAGAATTCATAGCACCTTTATGCGTCCTGGAAAAACATATAGCTCAAAATACAATTGCCTAAGAAACTATTGTGAAACTGCTGCAGCTACAGTTAGCAGAACCTGACTCCCTCTTTTTAAGAAGGCGGGTGGACGGATGGTTGGATGGATGGACGGACGGGTGGAGCGGGTTTGGCTTTGGAACTCACCCCTTTTGCTTCCTGCCGTGCTCATATTGGTCATGATGAAAAAATTGGCTTTGTCTTCAGTTGAAACCTTCATACACATTAATGTTTTTTAAAATAACGGATCGTGCAGATCCTAATATGGGCACTGAAAACAAAGGCTATACAAATAAATACTGGGAAAGGGCCCACAGCTTCCTGAAGACTGATAGCCAGATTTCTTTCTGCATGCCTTTTGCATCCTGTTGACGATATGACACTTTTTCCCCAGTAATGTCCAAGACACATATTGCATTAATCAGATAATGTAACTTTCCATGATCTAGCCCTAAGAAATGTAATTCAGCTTTTTTTCCCTCCCTCTTTGACTCCCTTTGACAACTGACTTTTTCCTAATGGGTTCTCCGACCCAAGAAATCTGGCAGAAGTTATTATATTGTTCTCAGAGCAATGTTTGCGGTGTGATTAATGTGTGATTAGCTACCTGAAGCTTGATAAAGGCCTTGCTCTTTCAAAGGCTTATCCGTGATCCATACTGCACTTGAATCGGGTCTTGTGAAAGCCAGTGGAAGTATGGACGCCAGTACAGTTAAATCCACATATATTTTAAGGATTTGGGTACCCACGCACAAATGACCGCACATTCCTTCAGCTTTGCAATGGCTGCATGGAAATCAATAGGCTTATCGGATGTGTGGCGCTAATACGAAAAAGAAAGGAATATATTCGTGAATCATGCAAAAAGGCGTTACTAATTTCCCCCCTGCCTCGTGTGGTACGTTCCCCATACTGTAGCACTGGTCTCATTAGATAGACCTGAAGACAGCTTGTCTCTTTTGTTGTAGTTGCAGGTGGAACTTGATCAGGAATATCAAGACAAATTCAAAAGACTGCCTTTGGAAATTCTGGAGTTCGTACAGGAAGCCATGAAAGGGAAAATCAGCGAAGATGGAGACCACAGTTCTGCCCCCTCCTCCCTGGCATCTGACAGTGGAAAATCCAATCATAAACCTCTGCAAAGTGAAGAGGAATTGGAAGAAGATAATCCAGAAAAAGTATTTGATACTACTTTTTAACTGCCCAAGAAACAATCAGTGCGCCTGGGCGCACCACTCCCCAGCTGCCCGTCTCCACTCTCCCGATGTGAGCTGCTGCTGAAGCGCTTCGGGAGGCAGGAGGAATCTGCATTCAAGTGCACATGTCCCAAAAGGAACATTTTAGAAAAAGTATTGTGCAAAGGTCTTCATTCTCATTCTTCATCTTCTTATTATTCTAAAGCTTAGTGCGGTTGTAATGGGAAAATTAATATGTTAACCATCGTCTCCTCTTTTTTTCCTCTCTTTTTTATTTTTGGCCAATTTACAATGGGTAATTTTCTGGCCGTGTTCACTGTTAAGAATGTTTAATGAAAACCAGTGTATTAAACGTGTGCAGATTTCCTTTTGAAGTGCCAGTGCAAGGTGCTCCAAACTAATACAGATCCTCGAGAATATTGCAACAGTACTTAATCATATTTGTTTCCTTCTTTGTAACTGCACCTTGACAGCCGTACCATCATTTTACATTTGCACTGAAACGTTTAATCCTTTTTAGCTTTGCAAGCACCGGTGGCTTGCTGTCTTGATATTATGTTTATCACGTGGAAAGAAATATATTTGCTGCTGAAAATTCTTGGAACTGTGGGGACAGGAGGAAAACAAAGAGAAGAACTCCGCCTGGAGATTGTCGGTGTCTGTGTACGTCTGTGTTTGTTACACTGTGTGGGTGCATATATGTTTGTATATATATAGCGCTATATGTGCACACACATCCGTCTATATACACACACGGCATGTTTCTGTTTGAAGTCGGTGCGGTCTCTTGGCCGAGTGAAAAGTTTCAGGGATAGGTGAGTAGAGAATCTTTATGAAAGCTAACATCTGGGTTCTCCTGCTATAAAACAGTCATTGAATCATAAAATTCTTTTTGTGGTGTTAGTGTTGTAAATCAAAGTAGTTTTAGAATATAAATTTGATATATATTTTGCAGACTCAAAAGTATTGATTTTAAGTATCATATTTTAAGCTTACTGAATTTGATAGGATTATAAAATGTTTAGGACTACAGTATTTGAAATTTAACAGAATCTTCCATTATTTTTAAGACTGAGGTTCAGTTTTACTGAGGTCTGAAATTTAAAAGCAAAATATAAAAACCTGATCACTGTTATTTAAAAATGTATATTAATCCGTTTAACTGACGTGTTAAAACAAGAACAATCAAAGTTAGCGTACTGTGCGATATGCACGAGAGAAGTAACGGCACATTTCGAGGAACTTGTATCGGACGACAGAGGGACTTTGTGAAAGTCAGGATATTTGAAAAGGTAAAGAAACGCTATTCTCTGGATTCCCATACTAACAGAAGTGGGAATTGTGAAGCATCGCGGGCGGTTTCTTATTTGTACCCAAGCCGATGCATAATGCCGAAGGCCTTTCCCTCAGCCGTGTGCTGAAGAGGCGTCTTAGGGCAAAGGATAAACTAGCTCAGAAGACGTAGATTTGATCCTGCAGACTGGCGTAAGTGGCTTTTCCTGCGCACCACTGGGCTCGGTGCAGCTGTTCTGAGGAGCGACGCTCACATACTTGTTTGCAAGATCGGGGCCTTACTTTGTGTTAAAAAGCAATCGGAGAAGGAGGTCGATTACATAGGGAGGCATTTTAATACATCGTAACAGTTAAGTTACTTTACTTCCATTCCCTCAGGATTTTAGTACTTTAAAGTAACTTATTTTATTTAAATTTAAGCAATAAAATACAAATCAAGCTTAGGTTTTCAGTTAAATAACGGTGTGTGTATATATAAGTTCAAATCTTGGACAACAAACAGTATTTTGATGTTTCTTTTTTAAACTTAGAGCAGAAGGAAAGAAAAATTGCACGTCGTTTGGAGATCGTATTTTGGATTAAGCTATTCTGGTTTATGATGGTGAAATTAGTGAACATGAAATTCGAAAATCTGACTTTCATCTTAGCGCTAGGAAAGGTGAATCCTCTGTTAATCCTTGTTTTGCACTTTGAAATCGGTCTTAATCGCTCGTTGAAAACGTAGAGAGTCAAGATGTAATGCTGCATTTTATAAAGTAAAAATGACATACTGTCTAAATTATTAAAAGAATAAACTGATGGCAGTGTTCACAATAAAACCGAAGACTATTGCATTCTAGAAACCGTTGTACAGCGCAGGCTTCTCGGTAAAATCTTAGCTCCTTTGGATTTCAGCGCTACGTTCCCGTGGACTTCAGCGGAGCCAGGACTTCACCACAGTCTTCAAAGAAACTTGGGCAAATACCAATTAACCTTTTATTTATATTTAAAAACCAATAAATATACAGGTTGGATTAAGTATACTATCAGCTGTAGTCATTTTACAGTACGTTTGTATTTGACCATTTCCTGTACTCACATTTTTTTATATCTGTACAGTGCCACTTTCTGCAGGTGTAAGGTAGTGTGTAATACTGTACATCTTGCATCGTTCGAACTATTTCAGTGAAACAGATACCATTTAATATCGCTATTACTTGAACTAGAGTAAGATAATGAAAAAAGGGTCTTTATGATGTGCAAGTCTCGTGCCTTTTATGTATTTGCCTTGTTCCGTGTTGAATGTGTGGAAATGCTGTATCGTGGACTTTCTGCTGTATAGAATAGAGCTGTCTATATTAAACTAGGTCGTGCACTTCAGATATCTTTACACTACTGAAAATAGCTTGGTTTTGGCAGTATAAACAGAATTTTAAAAATTCTAATGAAGGCCAGACATTTTAGATTTAACATGTTCATAATTACATTAATTAATGCTCATGTATTAGCTAAACAGTCACTGAAAGATAACTAAAGGGACATCATTGCTTGCCTTTCTTTGAAATCAGTGTTGCTCTTGTACATTGTATTAATAGTGTCTGTGATTGATCAGTCCTTGATGATTTGCTTTCAAAGTAGGATGAAATATTTCGGTTAACATGTACATATTTTTCGGTTCCTCAATCTACGATTGTTTCAGAGGCATAATTCACATTTTTGTAAAAATTCTATGCAATTTTGTGGCATGATGTTTCTTCCACTTGTAATTTTATGTGCTTACATTACAGATCCAAAGGACAAATAAAAATTTCTTAACACAAGACGGCTGTTTTCTCTGTTCATTGACTGAAAAGCCTCAGTTGACTCAGGAGACCTTACTGACCTCGAAGACCTTACCCTGACCCCTCTGCTCCCGGGAAGGGCGGTGCCACGAGGAGTCGGTGCAGTTTCCCTGCAGGCTCCGGTGTTCACAACAAGGAGAAGAAGACCTTGCCCGGGCATCCCCCGCCCCTCCCAGCAAAACATGTTTTTGCTGGTGCTCTGGAACAAGGGGAAACAAAAACGGTGCACGGCAGCCAATGAACTGGTAAGAAGATGTATTGGTTTACGGGACAGGCTTTTGTAGAACAGCAATTGCATGATTTTCAGCCCTACCTGTAAACCGCCTCGACAAATTGTAGCAGCGTTCCTTCTCTTCCGCTGGCCCAGCTCTTTCACTAATCATCTATGCAATGATATACGCGCTGTGAAATGCACCTTTGCAGGGGCCTTCCACTCAGAGCACTGAAAAACCAATCTGTTCCTTTGGCTTTTGACTTTCCTTTCCCTATTTAATTTACAATGTAAAAAATTATCTCCGGGAGAAGAGATAAGCGGGTATATTAATCCAGTGTACTAAGCGATATACCTGTTAAAATAGTCTCCAAGGCAGCTGGAGTCAAATTGCTCACTAGGAGAGGTGTGGGGAAATGGGGTCTGAGGAGGGGGATGGACACGGCACGGTGTCAGAGCAGGCAAGGAAGAGAGGAAGAGAGCTGAAAGCCGAGCCCGTGAATTTGACAGAGCAGAGTAAGACTAGGACAGAAATGGGGGGGGGGGGGGGGAAAAGAAAAAAAAGAGCGAAAGAAAAGAAAAACGGGTACGTTTCCTTCCCAAAGGAGGAGCAGTGGGGTGTGAAATCGTCAAGAGCGGGGTTTGCCGAGGCCCCGTTAGCGCGCTGCCCGTGGTGTGGCGAGGCGGGCGAGGGGAGGCAGACGGGACCGCGGGGCGGGGAGGCAGCGCGGTGGTGAGAATTTCAGGGGGGCGAGGGGGAGACGGTGACGGCGAGCACAGAGGGAAAAGCCAGGAGGCCATGGGAAGGATCAGGAAACAACCCTCGGCTCCCACGGGGCCCAGCAAGGCAGGATTCTCACAGCCAGCCGAGTAGAGGAGCTCGGCGCTTGCTGTACTTGGGCCACAGGAGACTGATTTGGCTGCTAAGGAGAGAGGGTGACGGGCTGGGATGCGTGGAAGAACTGTTTGGAGGCTGACCAAGGGGAAGATGGTGTCGCGGAGGCCAGGCAGCGGGGCCAGGGCTGTGTGCTCTCGTGCAGCTGAGGACACTAGGCGAAGCAAGCCCGTTGGGTTGCTGAAGCTTCAAGTGGATTCTGCAAATGCTCCTGGTGATGGCCAGAAGAAAACCAGTCTCACCACAGCGGCAGAAGTCTGCTACTACCAGCTGGGGAAGGTGACCAAAGGCTTCATTTTGCCTTCGAAGTGAATGCTTTGATAATGAGTCCCAGTGCCAGGTTCCACCACGAGTGATTGATCCTCAGCTTCACGAGCCTTATGTCGTTTCCTTCACAGTGATGCAGCTTCCAGGCAGGGGCTGGAGGGTGTCTGGATCCAACCGAGATGTTGGGGTGGGTGTTGGGGAACATCGCTGAGCAGGGCAGGAAGAGTTTGGAGCAGGTGAGCAGGCTGAAGGGCTGTACAACCAGGCCTCCTAAAACCTGGGCGTGCCCTCGAACCCTAGGAAATCATTTCAAGGCATGCAGCTGTACCTTTGAAAGACATGAATGGGGGTTTAAACCCACAAAAATTGTATCATAC